AGTATAAATTATATATATATATATATATTTATATATATCTAAAATAGTACTTGATAAATTAATTTGTTATTATTATTATTATTATTATTAAATGTATTATTTGAATATTTTTTATTGGCTGAAAACTATTTGATAAAATCAAAAAAAACAAAAACAACAAAACAAACTTATTATTATAATTATATAAATAATTATAATCTAGTATTATTATTATTATTACTATTGACAACAAAAAAATATATTGACAACAAAAATATTGATTACCAAAAAAAACAAAACAAATTACTACAAGTATATTACAAAAAAAAATAATTAATTAATTACACAAAAAAATAGATATATTAGACTAATAATAATAATAATAATAATAAGTTTTATTGGATGACATAAAAAAATTAATTAAATAATTTAATTAAATGTCTTAAATCTAATACATATATATATTGTATTAATTGTTTTTTTTGTATGTCTATTAATACAATCAAATTTTTTTTTAATTTTATTTGTAATTTATAATTAATACATATTATTATTATTATTATTATAAATACTTATACAAGAGATTTATTATTATTATTATTACATATTATATTATTATTATATAAAATTTGAAAACAAATGTGTCATTAAAATTATCAGTTTTTATTAAAAAATACTGATATCATATATCAGATATATATTATACATACAGTATATGTACGATAAAATACATTATATATATATATATTTTTACAAATTATATTTGAAAAACAAAACTATTAAAAACTATTATATTATACAAACAAACAAAAAAAATAAGACATAATTATATTTAATAATAATTTATTAAAAAACAAACAATATATCTATATTTAGTATATTGTTGTTGTCACTGAATAAATATAATAATAATAATAATAACTAAAAAAATATAAGATTATATAAAAAACAAAAAATTTATTCCCCTATAGTAAAAGTTTATTATTATTATTATTATATATATATATATTAAAATAATTTTATTATTAATTGTAATATTAAAATAATTACAATTGTCAATTACAGTAATTAATAACATTATTATTATTATTATTAAAATAAAGTTTAAATATATATATATATATATATATATATATATATATATATATATATATATAATTTTTTTGTGTATATTTACAACAATGTAATTATTATTATTATTATTATTACTAGTTTATTGTAGTTAATATTTTAGTAGTTAACAATATAGTTTATATAAAACACTTAAGTAGATTAAAATAAATAAATCAATAATATATATTGATTGATTGATTATAGTAAATAATTAAATAATATTTTTATTTATTAATTTATTTATTATGTTTTTTTTCTATATAATTTTTTTATCATAATAATAAACAAAAATGTAATAATCAAATTGTAAATATAAATGATTTTTTTTCACTAAAAACAAATAAATCCCATAAACTATTATTATTATTATTATTATTGTGTATTAAATTGTATGAATTATATGATCAAAAAAATATATTATTATTATTATTGTATTTATATACTTTAAAATAAAATAAAAATTATGGTTGAAAAATATGTTTCAAATTATTTTTTATTTATTTATTAATTAATTAATTAAATTCAATTAATATAATTTGTGTGGTAAATAATAATATTATGTAAAAAATACCTGTATTTTTTAAAATTAATTAATTATTATTATTTAAACAAACAAAAAACCCTACAAAAAAATAACTATATATTTCATATAATAATAATGTAATTTAATATTATTAAAGTTTTTTTTCTCTATAAGTAAGTAAAAAAATTAAATAATAATAATAATAATAATAATATCATATTTATTTTATTACTGTAGAAATACAATATACATATCATAATAATACTAATAATAAAAATATGCAAAAAACCATTTTCATATACATATAATAATAATAAAATTATTATATTATATATGATATATGATATCATTAAAAATAAAAAAAAACATAATCTATTAATACTAATAATAAATTCATGTAATGTTTATTATTGTTATAATAATATAATAAAATTTTAAATAATTTTTTTTAAATATTATAGAAAAAATTCTAAACATATATTAATTATTTTAGCATTTTTTAAAAAATAATTATTTAAATTAATATTAATTATTACTACTTATCAATAATTACTAACATATATTAATAAACTCTTGATTTATATTCATTGATAAAAAAATTATTGATTTTATTTTTTTAGAAAATTAAATTTTAATATATTTAAAAAATTTATTATATTATTATATCTAATTTAATTATATAATTATATTTAATTAAATCTATTGCTCAGTGTATTTGCAAACAAATAAATATCATATATATATATATATATATATATATATATATATATATTAATAGATTACTATTAAATTTTTAATAATGATTGCAATCATAATAATAATAATAATAATAATAATACTATTGAATAATAACCTGTTTTTTAGTAATATAAATATTTATATATATATATATATATATATATTTTTTTTTTATAGTGACGTAAATTGAAATTGAAATCTAGTAATTGGTTAGACATATAACTAAGTCATTGAAATATATATAAAAAAAAAATTATTATAATATATATATACATACATTAACCTCCATATGTGTACTCCCTATACATGACTGGATACCAGTCCTCTCTCTCTCTCTCTCTCTCTCTCTCTCTCTCTCTCTCTCTCTCTCTCTCTCTCTCTCTCTCTCTCTCTCTCTCTCTCTCTCTCTCTCTCTCTCTCTCTCTCTCTCTCTCTCTCTCTCTCTCTCTCTCTCTCTCTCTCTCTTTCTACCAGTTTTTTACTACTTATTTGCCATTATTTCCATTAATATTTGCAACAAAATTTTATGAGTCATTTTTAGGGGGTTTTAAAACATATATAGTATTATATATATAGTATATACACAAAACACATATACATATTGAATACATACAGTAATATCTATAAAACTTTTTTTTTCAAAAACTTGTTTTATTTTATAGTTTACTTGTTGTTGTTGTTGTTATCATTGTTTGCCATATTTTTCAACAAATATCACATATCTATAAGTATTATTCATCAAAAAAATATTTATATATGTTTTAATATCGCATTATATTTATAAATCATTTTTTGATTAGTGTTTTTAATTAATTAATTAATTAATTAATAATAATACTGTAATAAAATTTATTATCATCATTATTTAATTTATTACTATATATTAGTTATTCAATATAATAATAATTTCCATCAATAATAATAAATTGTGTGCCAATTAATTAATTATAAATTATTATATACCGTATATAACCGCTTAATCTAACATAATGTCACAAATGTATCCCAATGTTGAAAAAATGGCACCAGTACCCGATGCACCTCCCATGCTACAACATGAGCACCTACAACAGGGATCAGGTAGCTATGACCCACCACCACCCTATATGCAGGCACCTGGTCAACAAGCACCTGTAGTTGGTCCACAAACAGGTATATATATATATATATATATCTAATAGGGGGGTAAATTAATTATATAATTTTTAAAATTTTTAAAAAAAAATTTTAGTTACAGTAGTGGTCGATACGGGTAAATTTGGTCCCTATCCTAAAGCTATGCAATGCTATCACTGTGGCCAACAAGTGATGACTACGGTCACGAAAAAAGCCGGTACCATAACCTGGGCACTGTGCTCCCTGTTGTGTATTGTCGGGTACGGTATATGCTACCGTAGTGTATATATAGTAATTATAAATTAATAATTTATTTTTTTATTAATATTTTTTTTGTGTTTTTTTTTTGGTGGGGAACTGTAGCTGTTTTTGCGGGTGCTGTCTGATACCGTTTTGTGCCAGCCCTACCCAGGATATGATGCACCGGTGCCCAAATTGTCAAAAATTTTTGGGTGCCTACGAACGTATTAAATTTAGACGATAATAATAATAATAATAATAATTTTGTTTATAATATAACGACTGTCCATCAAATATATCATATAATATACAGTATATGGAGGACAGTTAGGTTAGGTTATACATATCCGGCCAGGCGCTCATTAATTAAATTATTAGCATTTATTACACAATTTTTTTTTGTCAATTTAATTAATTTAATTTGTTTTTTTGATAGCAAACACTTATACTTATATTACTTATATATTTATTAGTAATTTTTATTTAAAAAAATTTTTATAATTTTTTTTTGTATGTTTTGTTGTTGTTGTTGTTGTTGTTGTTAAACATCCAGTATTTAATAATTGATTTTTTTAGGGAGGGATTAAAATATCAGATTTTTTTTTCAATTATATTTTGTTTATTAATTAATTAATTAGTTATAATTAATTTAATTATTATTTTTTTTGAAAATATCATACTTATAGTAATACTCGTTATACTGTATAATAAATGAAAACTAAATATTTATATATATATATTTTATAATCATTATTATATTATTATTATATTTTGTTTATTTGTAAGTTTACATGTAATGTAATGTAATTTTTTTTGAAAAACTTTTAATAAAAGTTTATAAAAAAGTAAACTTATGTAAAAAATATTATGACTAATAATAATAATAATAATTTAAAATAAACAATTTTAAACATATAAATATAATATTATGTTAAATTTTGTTGTTGTTGATAAATTTACAAAAAAATTTGATAATTTTAATTAAAAAAATGTTTTATCAAGGTCAATATTGATATATAAAATTGATATATTAAAATATTAATTAAAATTAGATTATTTATTTGATTAATAATTAATTTATTCTCAAATAATATACAGTATATACTGTATATATTTCTCAATAATAATTGTAAAATTTAATAAAAATAAATAATTTTTAGAATATCTTTGTTATGATTTCAATGATTTTAATTTATTGAAAAATTTTTATTAGAAAAATATAAGAAACTTTAATTTTACAGTATATTAATTTATATTATATGTGTTTACAAACAACAAACAACATAAACAAAATTTATTTAAAATATTGTTAAAATAAAATTAAATATATATAATATAAAGTGCTATTTTTTAGTACATATAATTTGTTTTTAATGTTTTTAATTTTACCATGATACAAAATAAAAATTTAATCAAAGTGTTTATTTTGTATTTTTTTTATTAAATTAATTGTATTTTATTATACTATATATATAGTATATAATTCCTGTTTAAATATTTGTTCAAATTTTAGTAATTTTAATTTATTATATTTTTAAAAAATAATAAAATAGTAATAAGTATAATAGACATTTTTTTAAAAAAAATATTAATAATTATAATAAATTTTTTATTAATGTGTTTCAAAATATTTAATTATTTTGATATGAATTTAATTTTTAATTTTTTTTTGTTAGCAAAAAAACAATACATTTTTATTTTGAATTATTATTATTGTCAACAGTATTATCAATTGTAATCAATTAATAAGTTACATAATAATAATAATAATAATAATAATAAAATAATAAATTTTAGGAAACATTTATAATGCTTAATTTGTTTTTGTTTGTTTATTATATAATAATAATTTAATTTATATCATCAAATAATAGATAACTGTTTGTTTATAAAAGGCATTGTATTTTTTGTTTTGTTTAATTTAAGTACAATATTATATATATATAAAGATAATAATAATAATGTTTTTATTATAGAAATTAATTACAAAATTAATTTTTATATCAATACTTTCAAAAACACAAATTTATTGATTGATAATAATAATTATTATTATTATAAAAAATTAATTGTGTGTAAAAATTATTATCAGATAATTTGTTAATTAGAAAAAAACACTTATTATTATTACAAATATTTTTTTTGTTATAATAATTATTGTTAATATATTGATAATCTAATAATGTGTTTGATTTATTTTTGAATTATTTTTTGTTGATATAAATTTAAATAACATTTATTAATCAAAATTTGTTTGTTTGTTGGTTTGTATGTACTGTCAAATAGTAGTAATATTTGTGTAAAAATTATGTATAAAACACTATTTAAATAATTGATTTTTTTTAAAACAAATTAAATTGATATAAATTGATTTTATATGTAAATAATTAAAATTAATTAAATTTAATAATAATAAAACATATCAATTGAATAATAATAATAATAATAATAATATATATCTGAGATTTAAATGTATAAATCAATTAATATTTTTATTTTAAAAATATAAGTTTAATTATAACATAATTGAAATAAATCTATGAATAAACATTAATAATCAAACAATAATTAATAATCAAACAATAATTTTTAATCAAAAAATTTTTTTTATCATAAATTGTTCAAAAAAAAAAATAATTATAAATAATAATAATAATAATAGATTTTTAAAAATATATTTATAATTATTAGGCGATATATATCTATAGAGTGCACTCTTTTCTTATAATTATTTATTTATATTTTTTTCAAATTTTTAAAAAAGTGATGTTAATATAATAGGTATGTCCTCTTAATAGTAATAATAATAGTTATAATAATAATTTTTGTTATTATAGTCGTCTATAGGTGCCCAGGTGTGTCTTACAATTGGGACACCGGTGCTCAATGTCCTGGCACTCGGGTATACAACAGGGTATTAGACAACAGCCCAGCCAACAACTATTTAATTAATAAAAAAATAATTAAAATTAATTAATTAAACAATTAGATTTTAAACATTTGATTAAAAATAAATTTTATAAATATAGTATATAAACATACAGTAATTAAAAACTTTTTTTTTAAAAAAAAAATGTTATATAATTTTCAAGTAAACTTATAGTCTCTCTAAAAAACGTAATAATAATATCGTATAAAAATAGATATATGAAAAAAATCAATAATTATATAATAAAATAAAGTAATTGTTATATAATAAAGTAATTAATCTAATCTAACGTTTTACTAATTACTAATTATAAGGATAAAATTAATTAAAAAAAATAAATACTCTATTATGTAAATAAAATTTAATCTATCAGATATATTAGAGTTTTTTTTATCTATAAATAAATGAAAAATCTACCTGTACCTATTAAGTTTTAATAAAATACATACATACATACATACATACATACATACATAAATACATACATACATACACATACACACGCATACACACACATAGACACACATACACACACACATAGACACAAATACATACATACATACACACACACACTCACATAGACACACATACATACATACATAAATACATACATAAATACATACATAAATACATACATAAATACATACATAAATACATACATACACATACATACATAAATACATACATACATACATACACATACATACACATACACACGCATACACACACATAGACACACATACACACACACATAGACACAAATACATACATACACACACACTCACATAGACACACATACATACATACATACATAAATACATACATAAATACATACATAAATACATACATACACATACATACATACACATACATACACATACATAAACATACACACATACATACACATACACATACACATACATACATATACATACATACACATACATACACATACATACACATACATACATACACATACATACACACACATACATTCACACACACACACACACACACACACACACACACATACATACATACATACATACATACATACATACATACATACATACATACATACATACATACATACATACATACATACATACATACATACATACATACATACATACATACATACATACATACATACATACATACACATACATGCATACATACACACACATACATACACATACATACCCAACGAGAAACAGTGTGCCCGACAATAGCCAAGTGAGAAGTCCAGGTGAGGCTACCGTTTCGGTCATTACTTGTGCACTACATTGACTACAAGTCACTTGCATGGGATAGGGACCGAAACCCTGTACGTTAACTATGACAGCAGCAGCCACTGTATGTGTGTGGGTGTGTATGTTTGGACAACCATGTTTATTGTTTTTTTACATACAGGTGCACCAATCATGATGATGATAATAATAAATTAAAATAAAAAATAAATTATATTCATTAGTATTATATTTTTTTTTTAAAATGTGATTTTATGTTTTCAATAGATTATTATTATTATTATTATTATACTAATAATAAAATTAGTTTTAAGTTAACAACAAATAGATAGATAAAAAAAACATGCAAATCATAAAAATAATAAATTTAAATAAAAAACAATAATCAAATAATATATGTGAATAACAGTTAAAATCAATATTATAGATAAAATAATAATAATAAAGTAATGATTGTTTTTTGTGTTGAAAAACAATTATCGTATAAAATAATTGTTTTTTTTTAGTTTCTCATGAAAATCAAAATCAATTTTAAATATAAATAAATGCAAACATAAAATGCAAAAAAAACAAAACACTTGTATTCAAAAAAAAATTGTCAATTGTTTAAAATTTATAACAAAAAATAAATAAAATAATAATAAAATCAGTATTAAGTAGTAATACACAAAATAATAGCAAACAATATAATAATAATACTATACTTATAATAATAATAACAAGTATTCAATCACTTTATATATTAAACTAATTTAGATTTTTATTATTTAAAAAACATAATAATAATAATAATAATAATATGCAAATTGTTAAGTGCTTAGTGTTTGGTAAGTGTTTGTAAAAATTTTTGGTTAATTTTAGTGTTAAAAAAATAAATAATTTTCAACATAAAAATTGGCATTAATTTCATATATCAATAATAATAATAATAATATAAATAATATAAATAATATTAAATTTTTATTAATAATACCAAACCTGTGCCACTTCCAGGGGGAGCACCGATAACTACTGACGGCCCTATGGGGTAACCACTTTGATAGCCTGAATATTAAAATGGATAGATAGATAGATATATAGATAAATGGTTGGATGGAAAAGCACCGGTATGTAGGTGTGTGTGTGTAAATACAAGTAAACAATAACAAAAATATTTTTAGAGGTTAGGGTAGATAAATATTTTTTTGGGGGTTGGAAGGGAGGGGGAGGAATGGTATCAACAAAAAAAATATTTTTTTTAAAAATAGATAGTTTTATAGATATTTATTATTTTTAGTTAATATTTATTTTCAACAATATATATATATTAATTTTTATTATTATAGTAATTAGTAAATATATACTGCATATTATAAAATAATTTTTTAAAAAAGAAAGTTTTAAACATTTTTCAACTAATTTTACACTTAAAATTAATTTCATAATTATTTATAAATTATGATTAGTCTAATTGTTTGTACAGTTTGTATATATATTGTATTGTATTAAAAATAAAAATTATTTTCAATTATTTTTTTCTAAACAAATAAAAACTATAAAAATTAATAAAGTTTTATTTGACAGTAAATTAAAAACCACTATTAAAATTTGTCTTGATAAAAACTAATGTATTTAAAAAAATAAATAAATTGACCTTTTCAAATTTAACTATTAAAAAAATTGTGATTTTTAAAAATATTTTTCATATATGTCATAAATACTGTATATTAATCTAAAAAAACAATACATTATTATAATAGTATTTATAGTATACATACAGTGTTATACTGTATAAAAAATTAAATCCTAATTAAACATTTTAAATTAAATTTATTTACTAATATTTTACGATAAAACTTAGTTAATATATATATATATATTAAATAATTTAATAATGTTTTTATTAGTAAAAAATATAATACTATATATATATATTTATTTTTGGTTAATAATGATAATTTATTAAATAATATTATATACTGTATGCATGTATACTATTTTATATGATAAATGTAAAATAAATACAATTATTATTATTATAACTGTATTACTAATAAACTATAATTTTTATATGACATTAGACACACACACACACAAACAATAATAATAATATAATACATGATATCCTTAATGATGATAAAAAAATATATATATATATATTTTCTACAAATAAATAATAAATAAAACAAAATAAATGTATTAATCATTTTATTTTATAGATAATTTACATAATAATAATTATAATAATATCAAGTTTCGTAAGAAATCAAAAAAAAATAATATAATATAATTTTTTTCTGTCTAAAAATTTTTTTATTACATAAAATTAAAATATATTATATAATTTTTTATAATTAAATAAATTACTACTTTTAGATATTAATTTTTAATTTTATTATATTAAATTAATATAATAATTATATAACTCTAGATAAAGTGCTTATTTTTATTTTTTTTAAAATAAATAAATAAAATAATCAATATAATTATCTAAAAATTTGAACACAAATTTATATAATATGAAAATAGATAATGATATGAAAATAATATCTATTTTTTAATAAAATAAAATTAAAATGCAATTTCAACTAAAACTAAAAATCAAAATTGATAAGTATTTATCAGTTATTATATTATATATTTTTTGAAATAATTTTTAAATACTTCACAACAAATATAATATTAAAATTTTTCAAAAAACCACTTATCAGTGTTATATATATATATATTACAATATATATGCAAAAAATAACACTTTAAATGTTGTTTTTAAAGTAGTATTTATCATATAATATTAGATATATATATATATATATATAATTGGTTTTATTTTTCAATGGCTCTTATAATAATAATATTATTATATACAGTATATACTGTACTCTCTATATGCATATAAAATATAAAAATTATAATATTATACTTTAATAATAATCATATTATATAGTTATTTATCCTTTATTTTAAAAATAAATAAATTTGTTTTGATTTAAATGTCACGTATAACAAGATTTAAAAAAAAATTGTTTTCTAGTTGAATAAATTTTTTTAAAAAATAAATAAACTAAAATCTAAATAAATAAAATTTTTAAAATTGATATATATGTATTTAAATGATTGTTTGTATATTAATTATTTTATAGTTTGAAATTATACTGTACTTTAATTAATTAGATACTCTAGTTATACAATATATTACTAAAAAAAATTTATATAAAATATTTACAAAATAATGTTTATATTAACAGTCAGTCAGTTTGAAATATAAAACAAGTTTTATTTATTATTATTATTATAATTAAAATAAAACCTAATATTACTGGTATAAACAAAATTAATTATTATTTTTAATAATAAATATGAAACTCAAAAATAATAATAAAATCAAATAACCTTGTACAATTATTTCATTATTATTATTATTATTATTTCAGTAAAATATTTTCTACTAAATTAATACTAATTACTATACAGTATATATATATAGTTATTTTTAGTATTTTGTTATATAAAAAAAATTCATATTTAAATTATGCTATAATAATATAGTACTTGTATTTCATAATTATAAAAATTTTCAACAAAAAATATATTTATATACTGTATATAATAAGTTAAGTTTAAATAATAATAATAATAATTATTATTTTAGTTAAATAAACTATTAAAATACTGCTTAATTAACAGTAAAAAAATTTTTAATCATATTATATTTAAATATATGTTTGTTGCTAATATATAATTGCATAACTAAATGAAAAATATAAAAAATAAATAACTGATAAGTCATATGAAACCTGATTTCCCTTTCAATAGTCTCTATACACTAAAAGTTTTTAATAATAATTTTAAATATTTATAATATGATTAAAAAATTTCTATAGAAAAAGTAATAATAATAATAATAGTAATATTGTTTCAAATTTCTAGTCTCTAAAATAAAATTATTTACAATATATATTGTTTAATATAATGTCAATTTTAAAAATTAACTAAATGTCAACTTAAAAAAACTAAATGTTTTATTATATAGAGAAAAATAAATAAATAAATAGTTTCTTAACAACAAAAATAAAATCCTATTATCACTATTAAAAGTGATAATAATTTTTTATTATTATAGTTATATTTTTTTACAACTAAAATATATTATTATATATATTGTTTACTAACATGACATCTATATAATAGATATAAATATTAAATAAATTGCACCTAAATTTTTTTAAAAAAATAATAATAATATTTTTATAACTAATTTAAATTATTTTATTACTATTTGTCAGCTATTTATTATACACTGTACTGTAAATAATATATACTATATATATATATATATATATTGTAGTTATATAATATTAATTATAGATAAAATACTCAAATTTTACTATTATTGTTACAAATCATTAATTATGTAACAATAATGATAATAATACTAATAATAAAAATAAAAGTAAAAAATAAATAATAAATGTTAAGATTACGGTAAACATTATAAAAGTAAAATATTATTTTTAAAAAAATATATGTTATTTTTATACATTTTAAAAAAAATAATAAATAAAAATCCTAACATTTAATAATATAAAACTATTATATATATGAAATAGTATATAATAATGATAAATATTATTATTATGTTAATTATTTTATTATCATTGCTAGGATGAAAACAAATGCTAATAAATTATTTATATATTATATACAAAATATATATATATATATATATATATAATACGCAATAAATAAATTGGTTGCCAAATAACCTAGAAACAATATTATTAATGTAAATAAAATCAACAATAATTGCTATTATTATTATTTTTAATTGTAAACATTTAATATAAAAGTTTAAGTATATTTCCATTTAATAATCATTTGCTATTAGATATATATATATATATATATAAATTTCCATAAATAGTTAATTGTATGATAAAATTGTATATATATATAAACAGGTATATATATATAGATATAAATAACTTAATTAATAAATCAATAATTAGATAAATAAATAAATCAATCAATCAATCAATCATATGTGTATAAAAGGTTAATGAAAATAAATTATTTATCAAAAAATAATGTTTATAAATATATATATAATATTTTCTACAAATGTGTATATATATATATGAAAAAATTAAATAATTTCTAGATTACTACTAAACAATTACCCAAAAAATATATATATATATATAGAGTTATTAGTAGATAAGTTTCAATAAATTTTATAAAAAAAAATGTTATATTATTTTTTTAAATAATATATATATATATATATCAATCAATCAATCAACAAACCTGGTTGTGCCGGATAAACGGTAGCTGCCGGCTGTCCGGCCATAAAACCGGGAGGCGGTGGCACCGGTCCTCCCGGACCTCCCGGTTGGGCCGAATATGGCGGCGGCGGTTCCATTGGGCCACCTTTATGGTCCATTATTTTAGTTTTTAATTAAAATAATTAATTAATTATTAATTGATTGATTTGTTGATTGTTTTGTTTTTTTTTTGATAATTATTGTAGGATATATCTGTAAATAAATATTTAAAAAAAAAATTATAATTATTTTTATTAAATATGTTTAACAAAAAAATAAATAAATAAATAAATTTATTATAATTATAACTAATAATTATATCCTAATTTTTTTAATATGATGTTAAATAGTTTTTATCATTATTATATATTAACGTATAGTTGTTTATAATTTAACACACATGTGTGTTATTTTTTTAGCAATAAAATAATAATAATATTTTTAATACTGTTATAAATAATTTAAATATATTTATAAATTTAGTTATTTAACTAAAAAATCCTAATATATAGCTAACATTTAAGTATTAATAATATAAAATAATTAGTATTTATTTAAAAAAAAAAAATATTTTTATCATTAGTTTATTGTTATTTACAAATAAATCTATGAATATTTTTTTAAATAAAATTAAAACTAGTTAACTAATAATGCTAATATCACTAATAATAATAATAAAAACATATATATATAAACAATAAAAAATACTGTAAATCACCATGACACTGCATAACCTAAATTAGCTAGCTAATAAATTATTATTATTAATAATATAATAATAATAATAATAATTTTTATTTCAAATACTTGTCATGAAATACATTAAAAGTTCGTAAAATAAATAATATATACAAGAAAATACAATTATTTAAAATTAATTAAAATAACAATCAATTAGATTCGCAAACTTATTATAATTATGCTCTTCTCTAATATCTTTTGGTAAATCATTAAATAGTTTAATATTAAAATCAATAAAATTTTTATCAAATTTTTTCAATCTGTTTACAAATTTTTTACATTTTAATCCATGTCTAGATGTTTGGTATATTTCAACACAATTAATCCAATTTAGTGGTATATCTTTGAATTTGTGTATTATTTTAAAAAATAACTTTAAATTTTGTAAATTTCTTCTTTTACCTAAAGAGTCTATCCCTAAAAATTTTAATCTCTGATAATAATTTAAATTAGGTTTTTTCATTAAAATACAAACATATTTTGTAATAATTTTTTGTATTTTTTCAATTTTTTCTGATTGTGTTGACGTATAAACCAAACAACTATTACAATACTCAACAATTGGCAATATATATGTTTTATATGTTTTCAAAAATGTATATCCATTTACTCTTTTACAAATGTTTTTCAAAATTGCAAACTTTTTTAAACATTTTTTATAAATGTAATTTACATGGTCATCAAAATTAAATTTAATATCATAAAAAATACCTACATTTTTATGTTTATTTACATAATTTATTTTTATATCATTAATTTTATAATCAAATAAAACCGTATTTTTTGTAGATATTCTTAAAATTTCACATTTGTTTGCATTTAATTGTAGAGTATTTTGATTACAAAAATTATATACAGAATCCAAATCTTTTTGTAAAATATGACAATCACTTAAATTATTAATAACTAATTATAGTTAAATCATCAGCAAATTTAAATATATGACTTTTAATATTATAAATAATATCTGCTATATAAAGGTTAAATAATATACATGAGGTTACACCTCCTTGTATGACCCCTGAAGGCACTTTAAAATTGTTAGATTTATGGTTATTATACTTAATATACTGATATCTGTCCTTAAATAGATCACTTAAAATTGTATAAAAATCCCCCAAAATATTGTACATTTTTAACTTTTTAAGTAATAATTGATGGGAAACTGTATTAAATGCATTTGAAAAATCTAAAAAAAACTATGTCAACACAAATGATATTTTTATTAAATGCATTACATATTATTTGCTGGATATCTATGTGTACATTTTTTAGTCCAATACCAGTCCTATAACCATATTGACAATTAGGTATTATTTGATTAAATTCAAGATATGGTATTAATTTTTGATATATACATTATATTTATACATTATACTATAATATTTTTTAAAAAGTATAACTAATAAACATTAAAGTTTATATACAGTATAAAAATTAATTATAAATAAAATTAAATTAAATATATAATAATTACATAATTTTTTCCCCACAATATGGTAGACAAACAAATTAACACAAACTGGGTTTTTGTAAATAATAATAATAATAATAATAATAATTGAAAATGTCGATGGTTAATTATTTAAAATGGTAATAATAATAATAATAATAATTATATATTCAATAGTTATAAAATAAAACTGGTTTTCAAATAAATAAAATGTCAAACAACTAGTAAACAACAAAATTTTAAAACTATTAATAATAGTATTATTATTAATAATAATTTAATTTATAATATCTTAATATATATATATATACAGTATTAGTAAAAAATTATTATAATTCAATACATACTAAAAGGTTTAATTTAAATAATATATATATATAGTGTATATTAAATATATACCAAATATATTAGTAATAATAATATGAATAATACTAATGTAATGTAAATGGGAGTCAATTATTGTTTATACAGTGATATACTGTTTATATATTAATATGAAATATATTTTTTTGATGATATATGATATGAAAAAATATATACTAATTATTTAGTATTATTAGTATTAAATATGTATGAAATACATATAGTTTACACAATATATATATATAATATAAATGATATGATAGGGATATGACTAACAATTTTTTTATCATACAGGCTGGCTCATCAGGAGTTATTTTCAAAATACACCACTTATTTCAAAAACTACTAATTATATTTTATTTTAACAAAAAATATTATAAAATATGATAAATGGGATTACATATTTTTATAAAAAAAATTTTTAAAATGGCCGCCTTTAATTGCAATTAAATGGCAAAGTCAGGTGTAAAAATAGTCGAAATTGTCCTTATTTATTATATTTTGACTATCAAGCGACCGCTACATCCAGAACCTGTCGCCATATGATGTGCTATTAGTGACAAAGAAATAATTGGGCCTATATTTTTAAGAGAAATTTGTGATATCAGAGATCTACAGGACTTAAATCATTGTGCAGGACATAGGGTCTGCTGAAGATAAAAAGATTGCTTGATTGTTACTGGTTTAAACAAGATGGTTCACGACCTTACAGAACACAAGATATCTTTGAACAACTTAGAGAGTGTTTTGGTGATCGGATTATAGGTTTGGATGTGCCCAATAAGACTGGCGGCGGAAATGATTTTACCTCCATATTTACCCGATTTCAACACCTGTGATTATTTTTTTGGGTTTATTTTAAGGATATGGTTTACATATCCAACCCTCAATCTATTGAAGAATTCACAAAAATGATTGAAAGTGAGATACGGGCCATACAGCAATATATGAAAGTACGGGTAACATCCAATTTTGTACACCCGACTTTGCCATTTAATTGCAATTAATGGCGGCCATTTTGAAAATTTATCTAATTAAAATATGTAATCCCATTTATCATATTTTATAATATTTTTTGTTAAAATAAAATATAATTAGTAGTTTTTGAAATAAGTGGTGTATTTTGAAAATAACTCCTGATGAGCCACCGTGTATATTATATACTAAAAAAATAATAATAAACAAACTTATTATATATATATATATATATATAATGATAATATAAAATATTAAATTTTTTTTTAATACAAACATTTTTTTGATGGTTAGTTGATTGATATTAAACTGTAAATTAGTTATTATTATGAAAATTAATATACTTTACAACAAATAATACACAACAATACAAAAAAATAACAAATATTTTACTGTTTTTTAGTTAAGTACTGATAATAATAATATACTTAATATACAGTATATTAATCTATATATGTATTATTGTATGCAATATAACACATATACTGTAAATACATACATATATACCACAAAAAATACAGTATTATATTAAATATATATATTCATAAAAAATATTACAGTTTTTCATATATATATATATATTCAATCAAATATATATATATAATTTATTTATTTATATTTAATACATACATACAAAATGACTACTACTATTGCTGACACATAGCAAATAAATACATATCACTGACTATTACTACCACTACTACTACTACTACCTTAAATAAAATACAACTATATATTTGAAATTGAAATGCATATGAAATTATATATATATATATATATATATATTTCAATATAAATTCAATATATACAGTACAGTATCTATATATAGTATATACTGTATATTATATGGAAAAAATGCATTGCATTTAGCTATTGAAATCACTGCCCATGTTTTATACTGTATATATATATATATATATATATATATATATATATATATATATATATATATGTATATATACTGTATATAGTATATGTATATAGTATATGTATATATACTGTATATAGTATATGTATATAGTATATATATTGTTGCTGGGTGATTCATAAATACTGTAATATACAAACATATATATATATATATAGTGTAATGTTATTCAATGTTGTATAAAGTATTTCAATAAATAAATAACGTTTTATGTATATATTAGATATATATAAAACTAAATTGTTTTAAACTAATACAATAATATCAAAAATAAATTGTATTTTATTATATATTATTATTATTATATATTTTTTATAATAGAAAAATTTCTAATATTATTACAAAGAGTAGTAATATATATATATTTTTTATATAATAAAAAACTTTAAAAAATAATAGTAAATTTAATTTTAAAAAAATATTATTTAGTTAGTTTATATTTGATATATGTAATTTATTTTTGTAAATTTTATACATTTTAAATAAACTGTAAAAACTAATTTTTTTTATAAATTTTAACTAAATAATAAAATCTAATTTTAAATTACAGCTTACAACTAGAACTTCAATTTTTTTTTAAAAAAATATTTAATACTTTATGTAAACTTTAATTATTAAAATTAAATTTTTAGTTAATTTAATAAATTAAAATTATTTTATATATATGTATAGATAAATTGTTTTACCTGTAAGTTATAATTACAGTAATTACATAATATATTAATTAAATTTTTAGATATATTTAATTTAATAAAAAAAATGTATAATAATTTTTTAGAAAATAATTTTTCGCACATAATTATCTAGAATCATTCAATAAAACTAAAATTTTATTATTATTATTTATAAAGCTTCAATATAAATTTATTGTATTAACACTTTATAATAGAAAAATTAAAAATATTATTACAAATAGAAGTAATATTTTTTTTTAAAAATTAATAAAATATATATTTTAGCTAGATTATATATAATATATGTAAATTATTTTGTAAATTTTATACATTTTAACTAAATAATAAAATAAAAAATATTTATTACAATAGTAGAGAACAGTTTGGCTATATTTAAGTTTAATTTTAATACATTATGTAGATTTTAAAAAATAATAAACTGTAATTATTTTTTAAAAATTTAAATTAATTTAATGAATTTAACTAAAAATTTTATATATAGATTGATATAGAGCTCCCATTAAGTTATTATTTTATAATTATATTACTAATACTTTAATTACAAATATATTAATAATATATGTTTAGAATAAATTAATAAAAAAATTGATTATTTGATTAAAATTAAAAGACTATTAAAAGTTATTTATACGAACAATTATAAGTTAATTTTTTAATTAATATTTTTTTAAAATATTTTATTTTATAACTAAAATACAAATTTAAAAAAAAAACTGTATATAATTAATTATATAAATTTTAACTAAATAACAAAATTAAATTTTGTGTCCAATAGTTAAGAGCTTGCATTTAAAAAATATTATTTTATAATTATATTACTAATATTTTAATAAACAAATATATGTTTAGAAAAAAAATTAATAAAATTAAATTATTAACTTAAAATATATATATAATTTTTTTTAGAAAATAATTCTTTATAATTATCTATAGTTCATTAATATATTATATTATTATATTTATATAATAATATATCAATATTCAAATATATATATATATATTTTTTAATTTTAAGCATTTTAATTTATTAAATAATTTAAAACTGTATATAATAATTTTGTTGTATTTAAACTATATAATAAAATCAAATTATCTAGAAATTAGTATAATTTATATTTTAATGAATAATGAAAACTGTAAGAAATTTTTTATAAATTTTTTAATTTAAATTATTGTTTAAAAATTTAGTTATAAATATATATATATATATATATATATTAGTAATATTAGTAAATTTTGTAAAATTTTATACATTTTAAATAAACTAATAAAATAAACTGTAAAATAATAATTTATATGCATTTTAACTAATTAAAAAAATAAAATATTTATTACAATAATGAGAAGTTTTTCTATATTTAAATTTAATTTTATATTATATGTAGACTTTAAAAATAATAAACTGTAACTATTATTAAAAATTTTAAGTTAATTTAATGAATTTAATTAAAAATTTTATATATATAGTAGACTTAGAACTCCCTGTAAGTTATTATTTTATAATTATATTACTAATACGTTAATTACAAATATATGTTTAGAAAAAAAATAATAAAAATAGATTATTATGTTCAATTTAAAAAAAAGTATAATAATTTTTTAGAAAATAATAATTTTTTGCACAATTATCTAGATTCATGTCAATTATATTCAAATATATATTTTTGAATTTTAGTTTTAAACATTTTAATTTATTAAATAATTAAACTGTATACAATTATTTTTCTTGTATTTAAACTATATAATAAAATCAAATTTTTTTATTAAATAGTAATGCATACATTAGAATAATATGTAAAAAAAATTTATTAAAGACTATTAAAAATTATTTATACTAAATATTGTAAGTAAGTTAATTTTTCATTAACTAATTATTTAAAATTTTATATATTTTATTTTATTTTACAATTAATATAGAAATTTAAAAATTACAAATACAGTATATGTTTAGAAAAAAATTAATAAAAATAAATAAAACAAAAACAAATACAATATATAATAATTTTTTAGAAAATAATTTTAGTACAATTATCTATAGATTCATGTCTTTTATAAGAATAAAATATATAATTTTTAAAATTTTAGTTTTGAGTATTTTAATTGATTAAATAATTAAACTGTATTTAATAATTTTATTGTATTTAAACTATATAATAAATTCAAATTTTTATTACAATAGTAATGCATTCATAATCATAATAAATTAAAAACAATTTTTATTAAAATAATATAATTTTTTTAAATTGAAGATTTTATAAATAATTAAAGATTATTAAAAGTTATTTAAAAGTATTTATCAATTTCAGTATTATAACTATTATAATTGTTTTCAGCTAGAATAAATTATCAATATTAATTTTTTTTTTAAAAAACCCATAATGTTTCAATTTAATTAATAATAAATAAACTGTAAATATTAACTTGTTTTATAAAAAAATATTTTATTAATTTTTAAAAATAAATGACATTAGTAATAGTGACATTATTTCTCAAAAAAACTATATTTTTATTTAAAACCTCTATAATTATCAACTAAAACTTAAATAAATTATTTTCTATATTCTTAAATAATATAAGTTATCTATAAGTTAAAAAAAATAAATTATTAATGAATTTATAATAAAATTAAAATTTTTAATGATTTATAAAATTTCAATAAATATTCATTGTACTAACACTTTATAATATAAAATTTTAAATATTACTACTACTAATAGTAGTAATAAATATTTTTATTAAAAAAAATTTAAAATAATAGTAAATTCTAATAATATATTTTTATTTAGTTAGTTTTAAATTATAATATAAAATGTATATAATTTAAAATATCCTTACAATAGTGTGTACAGCGTGTTTGGCAAACTTGACTACCTGTCCCCACTGGAAGATAACTATATACTGGTTATGTATTTATCAGTTTCAGTATTATTATTATTATTATTATTACAAATTGTAATAATTGAAACATTTTTGAATTTTTTATTTTAAATAAATAAATTGTAAATAATATTTGTTTTTAATTCAAATTTTATAATAAAATTAATTTTCTTCTATAATAGTTTGTCACTGGAAAAATTTTATTCTAAAATAATAAAATTTTATACAAAACATAAATATATAAATAGTTTTTTTTTTTAAATATATATTCATTAAATTTATCGATTCTATATTTATTAGCAGTTTTATAATAATAATATATAATATTTTTAAATTTAAAATTAAAATTTTTAAATTACATTAATTTTTTAAATATTTAATAATTTAAAAAAATTATTAAACAAAAACAAACAAACAAAAACAAAATTATTAAATTTCTTATTCAATTTAATTATATAGTTTTTTTTAATTAAAAAAAATTTATAAAAATAATTTAATTAATTAAAAACATAATTATCTAGGTTGAATTTTAATAAACAATGATTCGGGTGTATGTGTATAATGTTCAAAAATTTTTGAAAATTTTAATTTAGTTTTTAAATTATTTGCATTTAAATTACTACTAATATTGTCACAAATGGCTAACCTATACTTTAACAATAATCGGCAATAATTGTTAGCTTATCGGACATCAGGTCAAACCGTTTACACCGACATACATACGTAGCACCGGCACCAAAACGGTATGTACCCGTACGGGAGGGTATCGATTGTTGTTGTCGGTTATCGGATAAATAACTGGTCGGGTTTGAAACAATCGGGTTCGGGGATAGTAGACCTTTGAATAGTGTATGGCATGTTTGCCAAACTAGACTACCTGTCCCCCCAGGAAGATAACTATACTGGTTATGTATTTATCAGTTTCAGTATTATTATTATTATTACAAATTGTAATAATTAAAACATTTTTGAATTTTTTTTAAAATAAATAAACTGTAAATTAGATTTTTTTAATTTAAATTTTATTATAAAATTAATTTTCTGATGTAATAGTGTAAGCCACAAAATAATTTTTATTTAAAAAAAATAAAATTTTATTTAAAACATAAATATATAAATAATGTTTTTTTTTAAATATATTAATTAATTATTCTATATTTATGAGCAATTTTATAATATATAATAATTAATAATAGTAAGTAAAAAAACACTTTTAAAAAAATAATAAATATAAATTATTAAGTAAATAATTTTTTTTAAAAGTTGTTTATAATTTTTACATACATTTTCAATAGTTTACTAATAATGTTAAACTGTAAATAGTATGTATTTTTAATATTTTAACTTTGTCATAAAATTAAATTTTTAATTAAATAGTAGAACAGCTAATCGATATTAAAATATAATAATTAAAAACTGTTTTATTTTCACATATTAAGCGTAATAATCAAAAATTTATTTAAAAAAATCTGTAAATATTAAATTGTTTAAACTGAAAATATATTTTTTTAACAAATATAATAAATTATCTATTAGTAAATATTTTATTAAAAATATAATATCTATTAAATTAAAACAAAAACATATTATTTTCTAATAAACATTAAATAACTATTAGTTATCTATAAGTATTTTTTAAAAAAATAAACTATTAATGAATTAGCAATAAAATTAAAAACATTTTATTTTTAATTATTTAGAAATTTTGAGTATAAAATGATTGTATTAACACTTTATAATATAAAATTTCTAATATTATTACAAATAGTAGTAATATTATTTTTTTTACAAACTTTAAAAATAATAGTAAATATAATAAATATATATTATTTAGTTAGTTTATATATGTTATATGTAATTTATTTTTGTAAGTTTTATACATTTTAAATAAACTATTAAAATAAACTGTCAAATAATAATTTATACGCATTTTAACTAAATAATAAAATATAATTTTTATTACAATAGTGATGGTAGAGTTATTTGTTTTTAATTAGATTTTATTAATTTAATTATTTAAGTAGACTTTAAATAGAAAATAAACTGTAATTATTTTTAAAAAAATTTTAAGTTAATTTAATAAAATTAAACTAAGTTTATAACTTGATAGATGGCATTAAATACAAGTTATTATTTTAGTAATAATTATTATATTATTAATACGTTTAATACAAATATTTTAATAATATATGTTTAGAAAATATATGTTTTTTCATACAATTATCTAGATTCATTTTTATTATATTAAAATATACTGTATATATTTTTTTTAATTTAAATTTTAAGCATTTAATACTTATGAAATATGTATTAAATATTTTTATTGTATTTAAACTATATAATAAAATCAAATTTTTAATACAATAGTAATTCATACTAACAATAATACATTTAAAACAATTTTTATTAAAATTATATAAATTTTATGATTTAATTAAAATTAACGACTATTAAAAAGTTATTTACTAAAAATTGTTAGTTAACTTTACAATAACTATTTTGAAATTTTTTTTTACACATTTTAATTTATTTTATAATTAAAATACAAATAGGAAATCTGTAGATAATTATTTTAAATAAATTTTAACTAAATAATAAAATTAAAATTTTATGTACAGTAGTTGAGGACAGTCAGTATTAATTAAAATTTTATTAAATTTTTATGAATATTTTAATTTAGTTTTAAAATTATTTTTATTATCATTACTATTACTACTACTATCGTCACACATAGCTATCCTATACTTTAACAGTAATTACATAAATTATTAATAATATTTTTAGATAAAATTAAATTTAAAAAAAATATTATTTTCAATTTATAATGATTTTTTCACATTTATGTAGATTAATGTATATATTATATTCAAATATATATATATATATATATATTTAAAATTATTAAATACTGTAAACTGTAAATAATAATTATATTGCCTTTATATTATATATAATAAAATCAAATTTTTAATACAATAGTAATACTAATTTATTTACCAAAAATTTTATGATTATACAAAATTTTAAGACATTAATTTTTAAATATTTAAAATAATTTTTTAAATAAAATTTATTCAACAAAAACAAAAAAAATTATTCAATTTAATTATATATAGTTTTTTTTAATAAAAAAAAATTTATAAAAATAATTTAATTAATTAAAAACACAATTATCTAGGTTGAATTTTAATAAACAATGATTCGGGTGTATGTGTATAATGTTCAAAAATTTTGGAAAATTTTAATTTTGTTATTAAATTATTTGCATTTAAATTACTATTACTATTAATATCGTCACAAATGGCTAACCTATACTTTAACAATAATCTAGCGATTGTCAGCTTAACCGACATCAGGGCAAACCGTTTACCGACACACATACGAGCACCGGCACCAAACGGTATGTACCCGTACGGGGGTATCGATTGTTGTTGTCGACTATCGGGCAGCCACCGGTCGGGTTTGAATCGATGGGGATCGGGATAGTAGTCCCTGCAATAGTGTACAGCGTGTTTGGCAAACTCGACTACCTGTCCCCTGTAGATAACTATATCATCTGTTAGTTGGTAATCATTGGCGGCTACCCGTCCCTCACGTAATGTTGTTGTGTTCATACGTAACGATTCGGCCACTACTGCATCCATAAAGTCGTTGCGTAACAATCGGTCACAATCTAACTGTTCAACCGATGATGATATTGTTGTGTCCATACATTGGGTGATTAATTCATTGTATAGCCGATCCTGTATCGGGGGATTGGTAGCCAAATTGTAGGTTAAAAATGATATGATAGATGAATTGGTACCGGAGCCGGCCTCAAACATGGCAAACAAATTGGCTGCCACTTCATCATCGGTTATGTATTTAGTATCAGTTTCAATATGATTATTATTATTATTATCATCTAGATCAAAAAATATATATATATAATTATCAAGCATCATTTTTAAAAATGTGTTATTTATTTTTTTTAGAAAATTATAATAATTATAATAATTTTTAAAAATTATTTTACTACTAAATTTATTAAAAAACTGTAATTATTAGCATTGAATTTAAATAAATAAATATATATTTATTTATATTATTTTGCATTTCAGATCAGATTTTGTAGTTTTTAATAAATAATTTTAGTTTTTAAAAAAATATAACTTTAGTTTAAAAAAATAACATTAGTTGTTAAAAAAAATAACTTTAGTTTTTAAAAAAATATAACTTTAGTTTTAAAAAAATAACTTTAGTTTTAAAAAAAATAACTTTAGTTTAAATAAAAATAACTTTAGTTTAAATAAAAATAACTTTAGTTTTAAATAAATTAGTTTTAGTCTCATTCGTCAAAAAAATAAATTTTAGTTTTTTTTTTAAAAATATACAATTTAAAAAACTTACCATTATTTTTATTATTATTATTTGTAAACAAAATTTTATTTGATTGCATCAAATAGCCTAACAGGTCATCACCATATTGAGGACTACTAGTACTACTACTACTACTACCAGTGCTTGTTGATGATGATGATAAGCTACCAGTGCTGCTGATGCATGATAAACGTTGTCTCAATTGATCCCTGGTCAATTGTACAAATGCATCCAATTGACTAGTGGGTATGGGATGTGTTAGATTGAATAATAAGCGTATGAGTGAACCGGGCATCAGTAGGAACAGTAGTATACGCCAACGTCGAGGACTTAGTAGATCATTGAGTAGTTGATAGGCACCGGTATTATCATCTATAGTATCCATTGAGAACATACAGGACATCATACAGGATAGGCCGTAGTCATCGTATAGCTTAGTTATGTCGAGAACTGTTGGCTGTCCATCACTACTACCACTACCACTACTACTACCACTATTACCACCACTACTACCGCTACTATTGTCGCCAATCAAGCCATCTATACGATCGGTTAGACGATTGATTTGCCGGTCGATTCTGAGTTTCATTGAACGTAATTTTATTGCCGAAAACAACGAACTAAGTACTGGTCGGACGCGAACCCACTGTCCATCCCTACTATTGTCCAAACTTTGTCGGCAAACCCGATGGCCGACGGGTGTCAGGAATGGATTTGGCGATCGATTGCGGAATTGATCGAAATCTTTGACCAAAATTTGTTTCAACAGTTCGGGATCGGCAATAGTCAGCACCGGTTGGCTGCCATTGAATGTACTGTTAATAATAGATAATAATAATAATAATTATAATAATTAATAATAATAATTAATAATAATACTAATAATAATTAATAATAATAATAATAATAATAATAATTAATAATAATAATAATAATTATTATTAATAATAATAATAATAATTATTAATAATAATAATAATAATTATTAATAATAATAATAATTAATAATAATAATAATAATAATAATTATTATTAATAATAATAATAATAATAATAATTATTAATATTAATAATAATAATAATTATTAATAATAATAATAATAATAATTATTAATAATAATAATAATATAAATAATAATATATTTTGAATAATAATAGATTGTATATATAAAAAATAAATAAATTTAGTTTTAATTTTTTTTAATTATTATTAATGATGGTAAACATTACCCGTAAATTTTACCATATTTTTGGAATCTTTCCAATTCAACCAATGATTTAGATTTAAAAAGTTCGGGTAATAGATTACCAAAATAGACCAGTGGTTTGGGTCCCGGTATACCACGTTTAGACCAATAGTTGTATTGTATTTTTGCTAAATATCTAAATAATATTAAATTATTAATTTATAATTATAATAATATATTTTTTTTTAATTATTTATTATTTTGTTGATAATTAATTAATTAATTATTTTATTTATAAATAAAAAAATATATACATACATATAACATGCAATAAATAAACATAACATATAAAATGCTAGTTGTAACATTATTGTAATAATTATTATATTTATTTAATTTTTTTAAAATTATTTTTTAAAATAATAATAAATTTTTGTAAATATTAAATATTATTTTTTTTTAAAAAAAGATAGCTTAAAATAATATTTATATTCAGTATATATATAAATAATTTTCAAATTTCGAGGACATTGTATAACTCAAGTACTTGTGATAACTTGTTAACTGGTTTTATATTTTATTTTTTTTTAAAAAAAGATTAAAAAAATTGTTATTCAATATAATTAAAATAATAATGATATGAATACTAATTTTTATTAATAAATATTACAAAATTAATAATTATTACTTAACTAAACATATTAGTCAAAAAAAATGTTTGCATAATAAATATTTTAATTCAAAAAAATAATTTGCATTTTAATTTTGTTTAAATAATAATAAATATTAAAGTTTTTTTTATTGAAAATTATTTTTAAAAATTAATTAATTAATAGTATAAAAGATAGTGTTTTTTCCTAATTGTTATCAAATTTTATTTAGAAAAATAATAAAAATAATGTGAATTATGTTATCATACTGTATGTATTGCATAACTTAGATAATAATTTGATAAAATTTAAACTTAAATACACATTCAATATGAATTTTTTTTTATCTATTTATCTAATATAATATTATATGAAATATTAATTTTCATTTAAACCTTACATTTTTTTACTGATAATTTTTAACATATGGTATATTTTTACAAATATATAAATAAATAACTTATAAATACTATAAGTTATTATTAACAGGAAAAAATATTATAGAAAAAACTGTATAAATCTATATATTTTAAAATTAATTTAACCTTGATTGAAAATTAAATTAATCAATTATTAATCTATTTTACCGTTGAAAACAATATTAATTTAATTGAAAATATATTTAATTAATTAATTAATTAACTAATCAAGTGATAATTAATTTCCAGCAATATGTTTAAATTATTTAAATTATTTTTTTTTGAATAATAATTATTAATAAATAAATTATATACTGTTATATACAATATATAATTTACAGTATATATTAGTTAAATGTCCTTAAGTGTCATATAATATAACTTATATTTATTTTATCATATGATTGATAAATACTTCAAAACTAATAGATTATATCAAAACAAAACAAAAATAACTTTAACACAAAACTTAATTAAATAAATTACATATATATATATATATATATATATTTATTGAGTGACATAATTTTAAAGTGTATATAAAAGTTTAGAAATTTATAATATATATATTGTTATTATACTGTATATATTAGTTTAAATTGATTTAGATTGACCCTGATAGAAAATTTAAACTAATATTAAACATAAAGTTAGACAATTTTATCAAATCATAAGATAAACTAAACTAAATAAAATACTGTATTTATCTATTAATAATAATAAAAGTAACACTTAAGTACATTAAGTAAAAAAAATGATATATAATTTACTTTTTTATAATAAAACAAAATTATTATTTTTTTTTAGTTTATTTGTTTGAAAATTTATTGCATTAGTTATTATTATTTTTTTGGTTAACATTGGCTGAAAAAAATTAATTAAAATTAATTAATTAGTTTATAAATTAATATAAATTATATTTAAATAAAAAAAAATTGTTTTTTATATATATTTTTGTGACAATTATGTCGACACCATCACCGCCAACAATAAAACCATTGACCATATTGTTTGCACCGTTAGATACCTGGGGCCATATCAACGCTTGCCATGGTTTGGCCGATTTGTTACGCCAACGTGGCCATCGACCCGTATTTGCCCTGGACATTGGCTACCAGGGTAAATTGGCCAAGTATGGCTACGAGGAGTATATACTAAAACGTGATGTCGACCAACAACAGGACGGTCGGGATTTTTGGGCCGATTTTGTTACCAAATATAAAGATTGCTATCGATTAGCACCGGAAGCCATAATGGCCTCATCGACTGTCGACGGGTTTACTATAATGTTTGAAAACTATCGGCAATTGGACCGGCAGTACAGGCAGTGTTTGGATCGGGTCCGACCCGATTTGATTGTAATTGACTCGTATATTGGTTCGCCTACGTTGACCAATGCCCGGGTAGGTGCTGGTGATGGTTGTATAATACCCTGGGTATGGCTGTGTTCGGCTGCACCGCAAAGTTTTTTGCACAGTCCTAAACTGCCGCCCGCCTGGTCAGGTCAGTGGTTAATAAATAATAATAAAATAATAATTATTATAAATTAAAAAAAATATTTAATTAATTAATTTTATTTTATTTTTTTTGAATATTAAATTATTTAATATATATATATATTGATATTTATTTTTTGTAAAATATTACTAATTTATAGATATTTAAAAAAAAAAATTTTTTTAACATAATTATATTAGTATACCTGATCATGATTTTTTTCAAAAAAAATTAAATATTTCAATATTTCAATATTATTTTTTTTTATTATTCACTTATAATAATTTATTTATTAGAATATTTTGAATATTTTTTTAAACTTTACTTTTATCATTAAACTTTTAGAGTAAAAATTATTGTTATTATAATATTTTTTAAAAAATTTATACTAATTTTTATACTAATACCCTAATTAAATATTAATTAAAAAAAATCATTGAGTTTAATTTTTAAAAAATAAGTAATTTACAGTTTTATTTTGTTGTTGTTTACAAAATTTTTAAAAAGTTAAATTTTACTAAATCAAAAATAATAAATTTCAATAATTAATATTTTTAAAATAAATAAATAAAATATTTTTTTAAATAATTATAAAACTTAAAATTTAATTATTTTTATTTAACTGATATACAGGTTTACCACTAGATAGTGACCAAAATAAATGGCTAGAATTTCGCGAAAAATATAATCAAGTATTTAGTGATTTACATCATAGGATAAGCCAATGGTTTGTTGAATCAGGTGCCCGACCCCTGTCCACCAATCGGTCGGATATTAATATATTACATCCCGAGTCACCCTATCTGAACATATATACCTATCCGGAGGAACTGGATTACTATCAGGAATTGAAACCATTACCCGGCAATTGGCTGCGTATTGACGGTTCGGTTCGGGAAACTGGCGATACTTTTGAAATACCCGACCAATTGTTAGCCCGAAAAACTAGTGATGAAAAACTAGTATTTTTTACAATCGGATCGTACGGTGCATCCAATATCGATCTAATGAAACGTATAACCGGGATATTAGGTAAATCTAGACATCGATTTATTGTAGCTACCGGTCCTCTACATCGACAATACCAATTACCTGCCAATCAATGGGGTCGACCGTTTCTACCCCAGACAGCCGTACTACCCCTGGTCGACCTGGTTATAGCACATGGAGGTAATAATACAGTATGCGAAACGTTTTACTATGGTAAACCAATGTTGGTGATGCCAATGTCTAGCGATCAGTTAGATAATGCTCAGCGCATACATGAGCTAGGATTGGGATTACGGCTGAATCCATATCATTGTACAGATGGGGAACTGTTGGCTGCAGTCGACCGATTGGCTACTGACCAGGGGTTGGCCGCACGTATGCGTATGATTGGCGAAACTATACGCATGAATAGGCAACGCAATGGACAATTGGCGGCCGAATTGATTGAAAATATTTGTAAATAATTTTTTTAATTTTAATTAAATTTTAATTAATTAATTTTTTTTTATTTAAATTGTTTTATAATTATTGATTGCGAAATAAATTTTAAAAATTAAATATATAAAAAATGTTAATGATTTATTTTTTATGCATTGTATAAAAAATATTAATAATTTTATAATATGCAAATTAAATAGTATAAAACAAAACAAAAAATAAAATAAAAAAATTAATAATAATATAAGAAAATTTTACTATTATAAAAATAACTATTGACTACTATGTAAAGTACAAATTTGACAATAATAAAAATAAAAACTGTAAATTTAATTTATTTTTATTTATCTAAAACTTAAAAAAAACAATTTTAATATAAATTTCCAGTGTAAACATTGAGGAATATCATTATTTATTTTATATAAAAAAAATTAATACAAAATAAATATTAGTTGTAACAGTACAATTTAATTAAATAATTTAATTAAAAAAAATCGTTATAAATTTTTTAATTAAAAAATTTATATTCCTAAATTGTATAATTGTTATTTTACGATTATTAATTTAGAAATACATAAAATAAATTAGTGTATCATTGTAATTGTTTACTAATTAAATTAAATGCTAAATAAATTCTAAATGTATTTAAAATCAATATTTTTTGTAAATAATAATGATTATATTTTATATATAAAAAAAACTCAAATTGCATAATAATGCTTTTATATATTTTTTTTAAATTTATGATATTGATATTTTATAAAACATTTTAAGTTATATGTTTAACAATAAAATTACTAATTATAGTAATATACTATAATTGTACTAAATTAGTACTAAATTAGTAATTTGTAAGCAATACAACTTTTATAATATTACTTCAATTATAATATTATAATATTTAATACACTAATTAAATTTTAAAAATTTATATAATTATCATATATATATAATAGGTGTTAATATTAAAAAAAATACTAAAAATAAAAACTTATTATTAATTATTGGTGTATTACTTAATGTTAAGTTTTATTCAATTATTAGTTTACAATTACTATTAGTTTTAGTTTAATTTAATAAAATTAACATTATAATATATATTTTTTTAAAAATATAATATCAAATAATTATTAATAAAGGGTTAGGCTAATTAAAATAAATTTTAAATAACACTTATTAAATATTAATAAACTTATTAATAAGTTTACAGTTTATTTTTGCGTTATTAATATTAATAACTTTTTTTAAAAAAAACTGTAATTTTTATTTAACTATTTTTTGAAATTACTAGATATTTTTGTATTAATTTAAATTTTAGTCTATCCCGTACAATTCAGATAAATTTTATTTGATTCATATTAGTAACTAAATTAACTATTATTTTTTTAAAAAGATTTAAATTTAAGTATAATATGTATTGTTAATTAATAATTAATTTAGGTTATATATATATATATTAGCTAAATAAATCTAAAAATATAATAAAAATTTAGAAATTATATATTATTTTTTAAAAAAAAAACTTATAATAGTTATCATAAGTATAAAAAACAATTTATTATAAAATTATTTAAAAATAAACAATAGCAACTACTATCTAATAATGTTTATATATATATATATATATATATATATATATAGAAAATAAACAACAATTATCTTAATCAATAAAAACATTACAGTTAATATTAAAATAAAATTTAAATGTTTTTTTTTAAAAAAAATTATCATTTATTATCAATGTATAAAAATTATTAACAATATTATCACTTTTTTTCCTTCAAAAAAAAAACAAACAATTAATAGACTAGTGTTACATATTGATTGAATGTTTGGAAACAAAACACTATTGATACTATTTTTTACTGATTACTATTTAATGTAAAAATTTAACAATAATAATAACAGCAAAAAAAACTGTAAATCTATCAGAAAATAAAAATTAAATTTAATAAGTTAATTATTTTTAATACTAAATAGTATTGTTAATGCGAAATTTTTTTTTAAAAATAAAAATAATTATAAATTTAACTATCGTAATTTTGCAATTTTTTTTTGAAAAAATACTAGATTACTATTAGACATTTATAAAAAATTTAAAATAATTAAACTGTAATATAAACTACAATAAATTTATATAAATTTATTAACACTAAACTTGTTTATAATTATAGTCTATTATAATTCTATTTAAATTTAAGTTATTTTATATGAAAATAAATATTATTTATTTTATTTTTATAATTGCTATTCAATAATAGATACTAGTAATTATTTTATTAATTAAATTTTATAAAATTATAAAACCGTATTAAAAACTGTAAAATTATAATTAAAATATAAAATTTAATTAATAATAAATACAACAAATTCTTTAATGAATGACAAATTCGAGAAAAATAGAGTTTTAAAATATTTTTATATAATTTATTATAAAATTAATATTTATTTATATTTTTAATTGAATTTATATCAATTGATATTAGACGGCTATATGAAAGCAAAAATTTTTAAACATTGATTAAATAGTTATTTTTAAAATTTAATAAATTTAAAATGTTATAATTAAATATTAATAAAAGTAAAAAAAATAATAATAATATTAATTACCTATTATTTAAATAAACTAAAAATATTATTTTATAATATAGTATATAATTATTTTTTTTTTAATGTACAGTAAAATAGTAATAATATATCAAAATTCAAGTATAATAATAATAAGTTTAGATATTAAGTTTTAAAATTAATTTTTTTTAAATAATTATAAATATTTTTTTTCTGACTAATTAGTAATAACTAAAACTCAAAAAACTAATGACTTTTAAAAAATTGTTGTCATATAATAGTAAGACATTTTTAATAATAATAATAATAATTATAAATATTTAAATAAAACTAATTACTATATATTATACTATTAATACTGTTTTTATATAATATAATAAGTCTATAGTTAGACATAAGCGATAAATGAAGGTTTAATGAAAAATAATTAAAAAAATAATAATAAAATAGTCAACTAATCCCGTATTGAATCCCGTATTGAATCCCGTATACGCGGAAAATTAGTATTAGTGTTATTTTGTTGTTGTTTGGTGTCAACCACACACTAGTGTTGATGTCCTCCCAGCAAATGGTTGTCCCGTTTATAAATATTTTTTAGTTAATGACTAAAACTGAAAAACTAATAACTTATATGCTATTTATATAAAAAAAAAATTATTGTTTTTATATAATATCCAGACATATAAGTGATATATTAATATCAATTAACTAATCCAATGAATTGAATCCCATTTGAATACCGTATACGGGAAACCAGTTTACGTTTAATTAGTTTGTCTTTTTTTTTGTTTGTTTGGTTGTTGTGTTGGTTTCAACCACTTTATTGTTGATGTCCTCCCCCAGCAAATGGTTGTCCCGTTTACAGTGTGTGTGTGTGTGTGTGTGTGTGTGTGTGTGTTTGTATGTGAGTACCGGTGTCCATGTATTAACCAATCAGTTCAATAATCACCGATAATAATAATAACTTTGTGGTGACTACTAATAGATGGTAAGTACATATTAAATAAGTTTTTATTTATTTTATTTTTACTAAATTTACAATATTTATTAATTAAATATAATTATTAAAAAAAATAATTGTCATAGTAATAGTATATGTATATGTATTATTATTATTATTATTATTATTATTATTATTATATTAGTTAAATTATTAGCTAAATAAATCTAAAAATATAATCAAAAATTTAGAAATTATAAATTATTTTTTTTAAAAAAAAACAATAGTTATCATAAGTATAAAAAACAATTTATTATAAAATTATTTAAAAATAAATTATAACAACTACTATCTAATAATGTTTATATATATATATATATATATATAGAAAATAAACAACAATTATCTTAATCAATAAAAAAATTACAGTTAATATTAAAATAAAATTTAAATGTTTTTTTTAAAAAAAATTATCATTTATTATCAATGTATAAAAATTATTAACAATATTAACACTTTTTTTCTTTATGTAAAACAAACAATTAATAGACTAGTATTACATATTGATTGAACGTTTAAAACAAAACAATTGATACTAATTTGTTATACTGATTACTATTTAAGGTACAAATTTTTAATATAATAATAACAGCAAAAAAAACTGTAAATTTAATTTATTTTTTAATTATCTAAAAAATTGAATACAATTATTAATATAATTTAGAAAGGAATAGAATGACGAAGATTGTTTAATATTTTTATTTTATTTTTTTTTTTTAAAAAACTGCTACTCAATAACTGTTTATAATTGTCAATAATTATTTTAATTGATTATTTTAATTTAATTTAATATAAAAAACTGTAAATTTTATTTTTTAACTTTACTTTATAATTATTAAAAATTAATTTTGATTAATTTAGATTTTAGATTATGCGTTACATGTTAATATTATTTTTTTTGTGACTTATTTTACAGTTTATTTTTTAAGTTATTTTTATTTTGTATATTGCCTTTCAAACTAATAATGTATATTTAATTAACATATAATAAACAACAATTATCTTAATAAATAAAACTATTTACAGGTAATATTAAAAATAAAATTTAATTATTTTTAAAAAATTATATTTATTATCAATATTATCACTTTTTTAATTAATCATTAATAAATAATTTAAACAACTTATATATACTGTATTATAAATGTTAGATATTTATTCTTGAATTTATTTTATAATAATAAAAATAAGTTAATTATTAACTGTAAAGTAAAATTTTAATATAGTTTTTTATAAATATAATTAACAATAAAGTAGATAGATAAATTTAGAGTTTATTTATAGTAAACATAATAATTGCTTTTATTTAAAAAATATTTATTTACTGTAGATATGGCAAAAAAATAATTTATTAATAAAAAATATATTAATATAATATTATTTTTTAACTTATTATAAAAAAATTAAAATTATTATAAAATAACACAACTACTAGCTAAACTATCAATTAATAATTAC